AGAATTATCCCTTTTGAAACGTTTAAAATTTTTACTGAAGTCAAGTGGATACGGCCACTCAGCATTTTATATGGCAAATAATGACAACTTCTATATTATATCAGTCCATTGTTTTCCTTTATATCACTATGATACCAGAATTAACAGTCGCTTTGATGAATTTGTTGAGATTGAGATCAGAATTATCCCTTTTGAAACGTTTAAAATTTTTACTGAAGTCAAGTGGATACGGCCACTCAGCATTTTATATGGCAAATAATGACAACTTCTATATTATATCAGTCCATTGTTTTCCTTTATATCACTATGATACCAGAATTAACAGTCGCTTTGATGAATTTGTTGAGATTGAGATCAGAATTATCCCTTTTGAAACGTTTAAAATTTTTACTGAAGTCAAGTGGATACGGCCACTCAGCATTTTATATGGCAAATAATGACAACTTCTATATTATACTAGTCTATTGTTTCCGTTTATATGACCTCGATGCCAACAATACTTGTTAGTTTATTGGCGAAGAAGTTGTTACGATTTGCACCCGAGTAAACTTTTCTAAACACACTGTTGCAACGTTTTCATTCAAATGATGCAAGCCAGTTAACATACCATAATATTACATCCTTGCTCGGTCGATGTGATGTTCAAAGACCCATGATACATTTCTGAAACCACATGCGAAATTTGTTGTGAACGTATATACGCAGAGAATGAGAGGCGATTATGAGATACCAGGTGAAGTATAAACCTACAGAGCTCTAGTTAGAATTTCTTACTCTTAATTACACTGATGACGGCATGGCTTGTAGCATATATGTCAGGAAATGTACACTGTACTAATCAGGAACCTAGAAATTCCCTCTACTACGGGTCACAGCGAGTCATCGGAGACAGATGACGAGTGTATTTTGAGCCTCTGTTTAAGCGCGTGATTGAATGGGATTTTTAAATTGCCGAGTAGACTTAAGCAGTAATGTTTTGGAATCTTGATATTAATATACAAATAGCTAATTAATCAAATAAACAAAAATACTGAAGAAAACAGTCTTCTGGGATGTGGCGCCGTGTAGATAATGTGTCAACCGACGTTTCGGAGGAAAGTACCGTATTTAAGCATGTATAGGCCGCGTGCGTGTATAGGCCGCAGCACAATTTTCAGACAGAAATTACAGAAAAATAATTTTCTTGGAATATTATTTCAGGAGTATTACACCCTGTATTACTAATTATGATTATATATTTTTTTAAATGAAGTGTGATTTCGAATATTTCGAATATAAACCGCACCCCAGTTTTCCTCTTGAAATTTGGCAAAAAATGTGCGGCCTATACATGCGTAAATACGGTATCACAGTCATCGCCGTGAAAACCTCAAATCTTACAATAAAAATACCGCTGCAACCTCAGCCTCTGTCTATATATCTGAGGAAAAGAAACGTTTTAGCAATCATCGTAACTTAAATAGAGCCCATGAGAAAGACGAAGGTCGCGTGTCGAAAGATTCGGGCCCCCTAAGTTTTAATGCTGTGCGTACGAATGTTATATAATTAGCTTCGAAGGAAGAAATATTAGCGGATGTGTCACAGATTTAAAATAGCTTCCGCTAAGTTTTGGAAAATAATGATGTTGCCACTTTCCTGAATTTGTGTTACGAGTGAACACAGCAGTCTTGTACAGCTGTTAGGACCGTAAGTAAGGGGAGCTATTACAGCAAGATTTTGTATCACGCGTGAGAAGGTAAGACTCAAAAGCTAATTGATCAAGTCGACATGAACTGCACAGATGTTGAAGGGAGAACATACAGTACGAACACTTTCAGGTCCTCTGACATATTGAAGCCGATATTCAGAACTTAGCGTTGAAATTTAATATCGGACACAGGTCCACAATCCTACGACGGAAGCATTGAAATGTAGTGTGATCATTTTTCATATGTTAAAAGAAATAATTGTAGAAGAATGTGTCGGTTTCTGTGTGACATTCTTAAAATCAAACCAATTTTAGAAGCAGTCTCACCTTTCTGAAATTCAAGCATAATCAGGCAGGCTTGGTGGGTTGTAATATTTGTCCCTTTGTCTTATCGTACGCTGTATAAAAACACAAAAATTTTAATTCACAAAATTATAATTTTGGCCGTAATTCTGTATCGGTTTGAGACTTGATCTCTGACATTAAGGGAGGAACATAGACTGAGGGTGTTTGAGAACAGGGTGCTGAGGAGAATATTTTGCCCGAAGAGAGATGAAGTGACAGGAGGTTGGAGAAAACTGCATAATGAGGAGCTTCATAACTTGTACTCTTCGCCAAGTATAATTACAATGATCGAGTCAAGGAGGATGTGATGGGCAGAACATCCAGCACGAATTGGTGAGAAGAGGAATGCATATAGGATATTTGGGGGGAAGCTAGAAGGGAAGAGACCACTGGGAAGACCAAGGCATAGGTGGGTGGATAATTTTAAAATAGATCTTAGAGAAATAGGATGGAATAATATGGACTGGATTGATCTGGCTCAGGGAAAGGACCAGTGGAGGGCTCTTGTGAACACGGTAATGAACATTCGGACTTCATAAATGCTGGGAAATTCGTGAGTAGCTGCACAACTGACGGCTTTTCAGTCGGTGACTTAGTTCACTTTTTAACGGAAAACAAGATAACGTTTTGAAAGGGACAGAGGAGAGTAACAAGTGGGGCAAGGGTTTAAGATAAGAAAGGATTGATTGTCTGTTGAATTTCATCTTGAATTTCCACTAATATATCAAAATATTTCGGTTCAAAAAGGTTAAAATATATCCTACGGAACTACGTCATGAGATTTTGAGTTGGATTGAAGTGGCTTATAATAACATCAGGGTTTCTCTGGTGACACTGGTGAAACTCCGAGTTCTATAACAGCACTAGTTTTCGTGAAGAATGAGCAACCTAACTACACCAAGAAATTATGAATAGGGAAATAATCGCTGAAGTAAAGTTCGCGAGTAATTGATGAAGTACTTCGAAGACCACCACCAGAATTGCCGACACTACTGCATCTTTGATCTGTACTTTGTGAACTGACAGGAGGAAATTGGACTGGGGTGCGTTTATCGCAATTCTAGTTTCATTTGTAACAGGGCTGCAGCAGTTATTCGGAAGCAGACAGCGACTGGGCGTTACAGTCTGGACAATCTGTACGTTCCGACCTGCTCCCTCTAAATTAATTGCAGTAGGAGTAACAAGTAGGGTACCCCTGCAGAAGTAATCAGCTAATGGCCACTGATATACTGTTCTATATATAGCAATACTTTTACACACACGACAGGCTCGTATAGATAGCAATGACCGCCACCATTTTAATACGTGACAGCATATGTTGATTTATGGAAAATGTTTTTTTTTCCACTCCTTAAAATTACGATAAGCTAAGCCATAATGGAAAACTTCCGTTAATAACTTAAATTTCTATTTACTGCAGTGTCGTTAAGAGTGAGATGGTACAGCCGATTCTGTAAGTGACGGATTTACCAGAAGGGAGGTTGAGGTATATTCGCGGTGCTCTTCATAGATGTTATGAATATAGTGTCGCTTAATATTTACCAGAGGTCCGGGTTCGAATCCCGGCGTTACCAGATTTTCTGAAAAGTAGTGGGTCTGGAACGCGGTCCACTCAGCCTTGTGAGGATAATTGAGGAGATATTTCAACGAAATAGCGGCTGATGTCTATAAAACAGAGATTAACAGCCGTGGGGATTCGTTGCGCTGACCACGCGTCACCCTCTATCCGCTAAAGTTGACAAGAACTTCGCCGACAAGCAGCGGTCGGTATAGTTCGCTTGTGGGCTAAAATCACGGAGTTTGTGTGTTTGAATACTTTGGTTGCCCGAAGCCTGTAATGTCGATCACGGTGGCCTTCGCCCGTTCGAACACTGGGATCGTGGGTTCTAATCCTACTCGAGGCATTGATGCCTGTGTGTGCTTTTATTGTGTGTCTGTGCTGTCCTGTGTACAGGTAGCGGCCATGCGACGGACTGATCCCTTGTCCAAGGGGTCCTACCGACTGTGTAAAAAGATCAAGGAACTGGAAAAGCAGCCAAGGTCCAACAAAGGGCCGTAGAATCACAGAGAGATAGAAGGAAGTCTGTTATAAGGATTGACTTATTTTACTCTTATTATGTTGCGCATTGTTCATTCTATTCTTCTTCTTCTTCTTCTGCTCTTTACGCCCCAGCCTCATGGCTCTTGCGACTCATAACCTCTTTGAAATTGCCTACCTATATCTCTGTGACCGCACAGTATCCGTTGTCTAAGGTCTGTTTCTTTGACCTGAACCAAAATTCGGGATGTGGATAGTTGTACTTTCTGAGATATAACACCATGTTCACCGTTGAAGACAAATCGATATCGCACTTCAGCTCTGAAGACGGAGGCGACAAGTTCCTCCGAAAAGTCATTTGACTTTCAACGGACTACATGGCGCTATATCTCAGAAGACAGAAATCTTCATAACCACTTCTATGAGAACCTCGGATCCCAAAAATTAACGAGTTGGCCTTCGCAGTCACGTGACTGGTTGTCGTTACACTTACATTTTGTATTTTTAATAATAGTGGTGACATCTGGGATCGAACCCGGTTGCTTATTATTCAGCGTACTAGCTTAGTATTCAGAAGCCCCCTAGTTAGACTAGTATTAGAAGCAACAAGAAGTTCTGGGGGAATTAATCACCGGCTTTCCTTTCACTACATATTATTTCATACGACACTGACCGCATGGAAAACATCGCGTCGAACAGTACTTCTAACGTTTTCTGTGTATTCTTTTCCGCTGTAAAATGCTTACCGAGCCGTTGCCTAGCAACGACCATCTTTTCTGGCTCCACTATTCCGGTTTTCAGGCGTTAATGGGGCACACAGGGGACAAGGTGATATCATAAGCCTGGTTTCATTGTTTCAAAATAATGGAATCTGTCGGTATGACGAACAGTCGCCAGAGCGAGTTACAGTTGAACAGTGCCGCTACTCACCCGATGCTAACCCTCAAAGTGTTGTTCCGGTATAGTCGAATGGAAGTCATTTCTTGGAAGAGCGACAACACTTTCATATCACGAAGCTGTCGAATGTAAAGGTCAGGAATCCAGAAGTTGTGGCGATCTTCCCACGTGATCTCCACGTATTCATCTGATTTGTTAACCTCACCGTCAATGAAGACTCTCAGATCCTCCCAGTACACGTACATGAACACATCCAGTGAAATCTCCTGAAACAAATGCATAGTTTAATGATCCAATCAAATCAGTGACATGTATATTACAGTCTGCGTTATACTCCTCCCACTACAGTCACACAAAATTAACAGACCCGCCCCCCTCCTCCGTCACACTATATTTGAAGTGTTACGTTAATTTCCTCTTCTGTTAGGCCGGTACTGTATGGCAGATGTCAAATTTATTGTTGCAGTGGAATATACAAGAGCAGCAGCTACCAAATCACAGGCACGTGCTAGCAGTGAAGCACACGCATACACACAATATCAAGAATTATACTTTATCAAGTGGTAACAAGCAAGGAATAAGTTATATTAATTTCTGTATTATTTCTCATCTCCTAACTGAAGCAAACTATTTTATGTATGTAGGATTTTAGATTCTAACAGTTTTGATTGTGAATATTTCTGTCTTCTGAGATATTTACTTATTCTTACTTACTCATGGAGCTGAGCCCTTCTGGAGGAGCCGCCAATTCTGCAGCTACTCAAGAAGTTTCCCAGCATTTTATGGAACCCGAAGGTTAATTACCGTGTTCACAAGAGTCCTCCACTGGCCCCTATCCCGAACCAGATCAATCCAATCCATACCATCCCATCCTATCTCTCTAAGATCCATTCTAATATTGCCCACCCACCTACGCCTTGGTCTTCCAAGTGGTCTCTTTTCTTCTGGCTTTCCCACCAATATCCTATATGCATTCCTTGCCTCCCCAATTCGTGCTACATGCCCTGTCCACCTCATCCTCTTTGATTTGATCATTCTAATTATACTTGGAGAAGAGTACAAGTTATGAAGCTCCTCATTTTGCAGTTTTCTCCAGCCTCCCATCACTTCATCTCTCTTCGGTCAAAATATTCTCCTCAACACCCTGTTCTCAAACACTCTCAGTCTATGTTCCTCCCTTAATGTCAGAGACCAAGTTTCACACCCATACAGAACCATAGGCAAAATTATAGTTTTGTATATTCTAATTTTTATGTTTCTGAACAGCAGACGATAAGACAAAAAGTTCTGGACTGAATGGTACAAGCATTACCCGAATTCAATCTTCTCTTAATTTCCTCCTGAATCATGTTTCGATCTGTTATCGTTGTTCCCAAATATCTGAACTGTGCCACATTTTCAAAATATCTGTTTCCTGTCTTTATGTCATTATTTTGCCCTGCATTTTGGTGACGAGATTTAACCCTCTGAAATTCAACCGACGTTTCAGAGGAATATTTCACCTCTATGTTTAGTGTCAAAGAATATACGAAGCAAAAACTCAGCAAGCATTGCTCTCTCCTTCATGCTGGTGTCTTGCTTGGTATATTACTATAGTCTGAAGGTGGAGGTGACATGTTCCGCCGAAACGTCAGTTGATTTTCAACGGACTAAATGGCGTTATATCCCAGAAGACAGAACTCTTCACAGAATATTTGTGGGTTTCCTCAACCGGACCCATAAACTGTCGGAAGGTAACTTTATGCAGCCTACAGTCATTTCCTTCCTTATCCATTTTTATTCATTATTCATAATTACACTATCATACTTCATTCGAGCTTGCATAGCAGCAGTTGATACAACGTCATTGAACGATGTAATACGCAGTAAAATTAGGACAAAGCTTTCCATAATATTAAAATATGCTACAGTTATATTCATAGCCGGGATAGCGCAGTCTGTATAGTGATTAGCTACTTGCTAGGCGACCGAGGGGTCGGAGTTCGAGTCCCAGTGAAGACAAGACATTTTACTTCTCCATGTCCAAACCGACTCCGGGATCCACCCAGCCTCTTATTCAATGGATACCGGCGGCTCTTTCCTCGGGGGTAAAGCGGTCGGGGCGTTAAGCTGTCCACACCTCCAACTAGTGCCGAGGTCAAGAAAACGTGGGCCTATACATGCACTACCCCATACGCCTTCATGGCGTAGTGCTTAGTTAGTTAAGTACAGGGACAACTTTGCTTTTATAATTATATTGGAATTTATTCAAGTATCCAAATTTTGGAATATACTGGTTTGAGTATGGACTTAGAAACAGCCTCATCCATCCATTTATATTGTCACGTGTTGGGTGTATAATATATATATATATATCATCATCATCAGTAATCTGTCAAGACGACTGATCTTCTCCATTCTTCTCCAACACCACATTTCGAAACTTTCCAGATGTTTCTGATCTACTGCCCTAAGTGTCCATGTTTCAGCCCCATACAGAGCTATGCTCCAAATGTAGCATTTCACTAGTTTCTTCCTCAAATTTAAGTCCAATTTGCTGGTAAAAAGATTCTTCTTCTTGCTAAATGCAGCTTTTGCCATGGCAATCCTGGATTTAATTTCACAAGTACACCTTCCATCATCTGTTAACAAGCTACCCAAATATTTAAAACATTTCACATTCTCCACTTGTTTTTGGTCTATCTTTATTGTGACTGGGGTTGGTTGTCTCGAAATTTTCATTACTTTTGTTTTCTCCACATTCATTTCCATGCCATAGCACCTTCCAATTTCAATTAGTCTATCAATCATGCCCTGTAGCACAGTTTCTTCCTTAGCCATTAACACAAGGTCATCTGCATATTTCACAGATAGAAGAAAAAGATATTAATGTGAAGTTCTATTCTGTTTTTGCCCCTTTCACACACCTAGAGATGTGTGTATGTATAGGACGAGCTTCTTGCCCTACAGAGTCCGTATAGATAGATATACCGCGTGGTCTAATCTCGGTGAGCCCATCAGTGAAAGTGTCTCGCTAATCTGAAGGGGCAGTGTTATGAGATGAGGCTAACTTCGTGCAAATTCATCGTTCAGAACCCCCACGGGGAACTTGGACGCGTCAAATTAATGTTACATGCCGTACGTTGCTCTAATGGGCTAAGATGCCTATCAAAGGGCACGGAGTGACCCATCTGACTTGGTAATTGCAGCCTCTTCCTAGGTGTACAGAACACGAACTGCAGTAAACGTCGCATAACATGATGCCTGCGACAGGTGAAAACCTGTATTGTGCATGTTATCTTTAGATACATTTTTTTATAGTGAAATGGCCCGTTGAAATTCAAGTGTGAATCATTTCTCTCATATCTTCATCCATTTCCTCCATACAGTTAAAAGAGTGAACTGAGTTGTGTTTTATCCATCAGATGCAGTATTTTTCGAAAATGCAGCTGTAACCCGCGTAAATTTGAGAAAGCTACATGTTTCCATGGCAGTGATTTTGGAAAAATATAATACTCAGTCGTTAACCATTTCGTGCTTTTAGCCTACTTTCCTTATTTTGGAAAAAGAAATATGATATATGGTTATGAGATCGCCTTGTTGACTCTCTGTATATCCCCCCCCCCTTTAATTTTTGTAAGTAGGCATACAAGATTACCTTGCTGTCTGTGCGTCCTCCATTCTTTGGTTTTCTATGCGGTCCGTGCTGTATAAAGAAAGTAAGCGATTCTTTCTTCCTGAAACTTCTTGTATATGAATATTAATTTTATTCCTTACAAGGATTTAGTATAAAACACAGTTATTACCAACTTAACTTATTAAATAAACCAAGGGTCTTGCGTGAGGGGTTGAGATTTACTAGCCTGTCAAGAAATCCCTGCTGTTACGTTACCTGAAGTAGGTTCATAAATGTAATCACTGGATCTCAGCCCGAGTCACTTCAGTCCAGTTAACATCTACACAAGCCGTTACTTTCCATGACTGCTGACACGGTTCCTTATTTTATAAGCATATTCTTTCCTACTAAATGCCACCCATACATGAGGGGAAATGACTTGCTTTTGCATAAGATGTTATCCTTCCTTCTTCCCTCCCTCTCATTTCCTATTATCCTGTTCCTTTGGCTTACAGAATATATTACAAGTTATAGTAATGAGTAAAGTGTCTGATCTAGTTAACCGCTATTTCTTCCATAGGAACCTTATGTGATTTTACAAATAAAGCGATCTATCTGCAGTAATAATTCTTATCACTATATGGCGCCAAGGCGCTAATAGTAGAAACAATGTGTGTTGTCTTTTTTTTTATCATGAATTTAATTAGTATTCCGTATTCCGTATTGAGGGGGTGGGTTTCCCCATGCACTTAGACCGGTTACTGGTCCATTGTGCGTCCCCCTTTAATTTCTACTGTCTCCATACCCTACCGGTACTGGTGCTTACTATCAGCCCCTTTCTGCCAGCGAGGTTCCAACCTCTTACTGGCAGTGGTATCTAATAGTTAGTCCCTTTCTGTCAGCGAGGTCGTCCCTCCTCTGGCAGGGGTTCCTAGTCCCTTTCTGCCAGCAAGGTTTCTACCCTCTACTTGGCAGTGGTATCTAATACTTTAGTTCCTTTCTGTCAGAGAGATCCCCCCTCCTCTGGCAGTGGTACCTGATACTTCCCCAATCTACCGGAGGAATTAGAAACTAGTTGGGCGGGAAATTTGGCCTAATTTTGCTTAGAGGTCTCCTAGAGACATGAGGTTCTTTTACGTGCCGTAAATCTACGACACGGGACCCACGGCTTAAAGTCCCTCCCGGACAACTTGTTCCCTGAATTTTTCCGCCCTTAAAAATTCCACGACCTCCGCCGGGTTTTTGAACCCGCGTACCTTGAGTCATGAGGTGGGAACGTTACCCCTAGACTACGGAGGCCGCTAATTTAATTAGTAAGCATAAGTCAGTACTTATTTGTTACAGTGCACTACCTTCCATGTGCCGCTTAAGTGGTAAAGTGGCATGTTATTGTTCACATTGTTTATGGTGTTCATTTAAGATGTATGGAGAAGCTTACAGAAGAAGAATTATGTTAGAGTTAAAGAAAATGTATGTTAGAAGATGTAGGAATTTCATTACCGTATTTCTGTACCGTTTTTTTATTGGTTCAGGGCGGGAAGCGAATATTTCAGTTAATATTAAATATTAAAGTATTAAAATGAAAATTGGATACAGTAAAAATTATTCGTGTTCCAAAACCCGAATGGCTTGAATACTTCAAAGCACACAGGAATAATGACTCTAGAAATTCTACCTTAAACAAAGACAGGATAAATTTAAAAAAGTTTTAAAACTTTTAACAATACATCTCAAGATTATGGGAACATAAACAGGGAACATATAAATGTCTGTTGCTGGAACTAGCAGTGTTATGTAAAAATTTATGTTTATGTGGACTTGTATTTTAGAAGATATAATTTATGTAAGATTTGAGATTTTCACGGCGGTGAATATGAAGAATGCCGTCTTCTGGGATGTGATGTCGTGTAGATATTGTGTAAACCGAAGTTTCGGAGGAACGTATTGCCTCCATCTTCAGGGTATATAAGTCCGCGAGTAAGGAACCAGTGTGAGCAGGTGGCTGCTGCCCGCACACAAGAGTTACACTGAACCACAACCCAGGAGACGGTATTCGACATAATTTATTTCAGAAATGAGGACTATATCATTGCAGAAACATACAATGACGAATGGAGACGTGTAAAGTGTGTTGAGTCACCGTGTTGCATCTGAGGCTCTCACAACTCTGACTGTGACTGGGGTGTAACACCGTGTATTCCTGTACAAGTCCATCAGTGTTTTGGAGGGACTGAAGAGCGAGCAAGCGAGCTAGGCCTCTCGTCTGATTCTTGTTAGTTACTTGTCAGTTTCACTTTTCGACACGACACAACACTGAAGATGGAAGCAATACGTTCCTCCGAAATATCAATGGACCTCTACCAGACTACATGATACCACATTCAAAAAGATATTACTCAGTATAGAGGAATGAATTTATTAAACTTTGAAGAAAGCAGTCTTCTGGGCTTTGGCGCCGTGTATATGTGGTGTTAACCGACGTTTCGGAGGAACGTATCGCCCCNTCCAGGAAAAGTGATAATGTGGTAGTTTTTCCATTTGCTTTCCACATCGCAGTACAACAGCCGTTCAAACCACTCTGGTCACGCCTGTTGCTATACGAACTTGAACCATCTCGAGCATCATTTGTTCTGTGCTTCAAGTCGCTGCTGATGACGCTGCTTCCGGCATCAGTTTTTGGTTTTTGGTGTCTCTCTTCGTCTGATGCCTACCCTTTTGACCTGTCCAGCAAGGGAGGCCCTGCCAGTAGCTACGCTACCGCTGGTATAGCTCTCAGGGTCCTTGGCATACTCAAACCCCCTCACCACGATAAGGTGGAGACACCAACGAGAGGGGTTCACAAAATAGGACTATTTTATGCCATGTAGTATCTCACTACAAATTTCAGTTAGGCCTATTGTATTTATTGAAAGCCAGTAATCCCATTAAATATTATTCGGGCTTTCGCTAAGCAGGATCTTGTCATTAAAGTTTCACTGTACTTTGCCTATAATATTTCCACCGCGTGGAGGACCCACAGATAATGAGACGGTTTTTAAGGCGCGTCCACACTACTCGTGCTCGTGCGTCAGGAGCTTACTGCTACCGGAAAATCAGGATCTGAAGCTGACGAAGTGGACGCCCAGACTGATTTGCATACAAAGCCTTCGCATTTCTTCACAACAGATATCAGCTCCAGATCCTGATTTTCCGGCAGCAGTAAGCTTCTGACGCACGAGCACGAGTAATGTGGACGCGCCTTAACAGTAGCTTACTCACCTCTTTGCTCTCGTCCACTGCAGAAACACGGTTAATGAACAGAGATATAAACACGTCTGTTCTTTTTCCTCTAAATTTCCCTGAAAGAAACGGAAATTAATATTAAAACATCATTCTGATGTTACCAGAAATATATGTCTTCGCTCTTCTTTAGTTCCAATGATGTAGGAGGGCTGACCACAGTGGCCGCGCTGTCTATAAAGGGCCCATACAAGTACGAGCCTGGCTCGCGAGTCCGGCTCGGAGGGCTTGACTCGGAAGCCGGTCTCGAATTATTTTCACCACAAACGCAAGAGCTGACTCCCAACTTTGCGATCCATTCACGGACGAGTTTGGCTCATTGGAACCCTAGCCGAGTCGGAATCGCGAGCCAGGCTTGTACGTGTATGGGCCCCTTTAGACATGAACTGCCTTCGCCCGCCCAAACACTGGGATCGTGGATGTCTGTGTTAGGTAGCAGCCTTGCGACGGGCTGATCCCCGTCAAAGGAGTCCTACCGACTGTCTTAGATTAAGAAACTGAAATGAAACGAAACGTTTCACGAATGTCCTATGCTCCAAATGGTAGCAACAGGAATAGAATAAGTTGAAGAAGATAATTGTAAAGAGGGATATATGATTACAAATTACGCCTTTGCTGAAATATTCAACCCGATTCAGTAAAAAGATATTCAGACTTACTACTCGTATTTAGGCGTACAGAAGGAGATAAAAATAACCGACCATTGACACAAATCTCTAGAGGATCATGAAGATTCCCAACGTACTTTTAGGTTTGCATAAACAAATTTTTCGTTATTTTAATCTTCTCTGTCTTACACAATTTCGTTAGATAACTCAGGAGTCAACGTTTTCTCCTTACGTCTATTGGCATACCTGACATGATGTAGCACTCTCGTGGGTACGTTTATTGGCAATATATCTTAAGAAATATTGAAGTTTCGGCCGTGTCTGACATCTCAGGGGGATTTGAGCTTAGATGGAACACCGGATTTTATAACTTATTTATAAAACATATGGGTATGATCAGTCACATATCGTTACTGTCCATCCTTCATCTTCGTCACTCCAGTTCGGATCATAGGACTTGACTGAACGAGTAGGAAAAATTCTGTGTCTGCCAATCGCATGCTCCATGAGGCAGCAACCGAAACATCTGAATATTTAGGTGTTCACTCTATGTTTTTCACATTTTGTGCTTGAAACATAGAACTGACCTGTCAAAAAGTTATTAATATTTTCTATAAATACACGTATGTGGCCTAGCCGAAATATTTAGTGAAACAAGAATGCGACAAATGATGATTAAGTTAATAGTATAATATTGTAAAGGATTTACTCAAAGTGTTTCTAGGCAACGACTCTGTAAACACGGTCAACCTGCAACAGTGGGAGATGTGTCTCAGTGAACGGATGTTATTGCGCTCTGGTAGGCAACAGCGCGCCAATGAGGACGCTGGCTGGGAATCACGTGACTTGTTCTCTGTGTGGTATTCCTTATGCAACAATAAGCTGTGTTCTCTATGCGTGGTCCGTGCGGAGACCATATAACGAGAGTAACACCAGCAATTCAGATCGAAAGCCGTTTGGACGCGTGGTCGAATACCTCCACCGTGACCCTGCGAGTCGTAGGAGGCGACGAAAAGGGGAGTATCGAATCTGAGACAGTAAAATATGGTCACAAGTCCCAAGGGACTCTACCTAGAGATATACTGCACTGGCAAGGGCCAGCAGCATATACAAAAGACAGACCTGACCTCTCGTCAGAGAGTGCGCCCCACAAAAACATGATCATAACTGTCAAACAGTAATAAATATATGGTCATGAGCCCCAGATGGGGCTCCACACCAAGACTTACTGACTGGCTGACCGTCAGTCGCAATGTGACTTTGACTTGAACCTTGACAATTCAGTTCTCGGGAGGAGATAGCCACGGGTAGTTCGTAAAAGACGTGTGAAGACTTAACGTGTGAATTGAAGACTTTGTGTGTTATAATTGTATTAATCTTGAAAATGTTGTTACAACTAGTGAAGTTCCAATACACCGATTCACCAGACCAAACCCGCGTCATAACCACTCAAACACGCAACAGTGGGATCCATAACATTGAAATTACTGCAGATTTAAATAAATAAGAACTTCACATCTACCCATAGTTATGTGTGGACTTGAAAGTTGGTCCGTACTGCGATGATAGAGCGGAGATGTAATGTACTGTAAAATGAACTGACAAAGGCTTTGCATTTTAAAGGCATGGGACACAAGAGCGTGCGCTGTACATTTGGATCTAGCATGCGTGAAGACCACTGAGTGTGAATTTCTTATTTACGAAATATGTGGAACACTTTAATGCGTTGCCTCTCCCAATATCATAATTATTACGTACTTTACAAATTAGATTTCTTCCGAAGTTATTTCCTGGATATTAGAACTCATTCCTATGTAAGTCAAGTTCAAACGCTCATTCTGTTCTGCTTTACGACTGCAGGGGTCTGAGGACAGGAACTATGTCTGCCTCCTTTGCTTACAACTTTGTCACGTAAACTATGACCTTTAGCGGCTCATAACTGTGTCATGAACACGGTATCTAGCAAGGCTTGCAACCAAAGAAAATGCGTGTTTTTGTTATACGTGTTATTGCATAAGGTCAAGTACTGACCGGTATTCCGTTCTCTCGGAAATGAAAGTAGGAGTATGGCGGGGCGGGGCGGGGTGTTGGTGTCGTGCTGTTGCGACTCTGAGGGCCTGGGTGTCCTGTCGAGTGATCTCACACAAAGCGTCTGGCTCTTCATATGTTTTGACGAGCTACCATCACCAATGATCATGCTTGCACTGAAACAGTCTTTCTAAAGGCTGATTAATTTCTACTAGCTATTCATTCGCAGGAGGGAACACAAAATGATATTTCAGAACCACAAATACAAAATATTGACTTCTGATGTTCCAAAGAAATATTCGTGGAAAGGGGAACAGCTGACATCCGATGACAGGCGCTTGTTCAGTTGCCTCTTGTTTGAAGTTTGTCTTCACAACTTTTGTATTAATATTCTCAGAGTGGGTAAATCAAGGATGATGGCATGGGCGGGACTTATAGCATGTATGTAATAGATCTAAAAGATAAAGGTAACTTTGTGTCCCTGTGCTTATGGAATTAAGAACTACACCATGAAGGCGTATGGAGGAGTGGATGTATATATCCATATTTTCTTGACCTCAGCACTAGTTGGAGGTGAGTGGCCAGCTTCACGCCCCTGCTGCTTTACCTCCGTGAGAGAACCTTCGGTACCCATTGGATAGGAATTTGGATGGACCTCAGAGGCGGTCTGGACAACGTGGAGAAAAGAAAATTTTTTACCCTACCGCATCTCGAACTCCGACCCCTCGGTCGTCCAGCCCGTAGCCAGTCGCTATACCTTCTACACTTTCCCGGCTACTTATATAATAGATCTAGGTAAGATATTGTTACAAAATTTAGTTGTAAAACTTGAAGGTAATGGGCGATTTGCTTATCTAATTGTGATGGGCAGGTAATATTACCATGGACATTAGAGAAATGTGCTGTGAATTTTGGGTTGGACTCATCTGGCTAGAAATATAGACCATTGGTGTGTAGTATCAAATACCCTAATTATCCTTCTGGTCCATGAACGTCTGGAATTTCTGGACTAACTTAAGAATTACAAAATTATCAAGAACGGTTATGATGACAAGATTATTATTTAATTGGTGCGCTGCTATTTGGGGCTAATATGGCGGAGAATTGAACTTCAGGTATATGTGTGTGGATCGGAAGTTGACCTTATACCAGAAATGTTGGGCGTCGTTTTGCTGGGTGTGGTCCCAACGAATCATAATGAGAAAACTCGACAATCTATTTAGGGCTTTATCCATCTAGTTGTAATGAAAACAAAGCGATGTTATCGAGAATCATATTTGCCTGAATAACGTTCCTTTTTGTAGTTAAGTACTTTCTGTCTCTGTATTGCAGTTCCTGATTCCTTCAGCAGTTTGAAGCATAAACGGAAAGGGATAGGAAATCGTGGGAAATGCCAAATCTGTGGTTCTGCACTTCAGTTCCTACCGTAGAAGCTGGCCTCATCAGTGTTCACTAGCTTGGGCTTCGAGGAAGGACTTTATTGACCTTAGATAGTAATTTTCAATTGTAAAATATTTCCGTTGAATTATTATGGCATTAATTGCTACTTACATATTTTGGAAAATAATATGAGGAGCTGGAGAACTAGCAGTTTCCTTTTGATGCATTCAAACCGACGGAGCAGCTGCATGGATGCATACAAAAGTAACTTGAAATTTCGGAACTACCTCAGCCGTTGCTTGAAGAAGGAGGAAAAATACTCGTAAATGTCGAGATGATCGCTCGCAGGACTTCCCGGATATAATTCATTGCTTATAGCAACACACGGCTCATAACAGCAGATTTGTTACGAAATGGATGAAAAGAAAAGAATAACTTTGTCAAATTTTTCCCTTCTTCTGAGTTTTTTTTTTATTTGGAGGTATCAAGTATCAGCCGTGAAAGGGGCTATCTAGGCTCGACGTTGCTTAACAAGGATTATGGATACAGCCAAACTTTTAGTTGCATTCTCATGCATTGACTTTATGTTGTAACATGTATAGCTAGGCAACGGCGCGATAAATATTTTCGTCACGTAAACGCGCTCAACAATAGGACGCATGTTTGTAGCTCTTTGGTAGGTAACAGTCGGCGCACCAATGAGCTGGCGAGATGACTATCACGTGTCTGGCCTTCTATGGAGTCCGTGCTGCGACCGTTGCTATGCAATGGTTCGGTGAAAGCGTTACAAAAATAAAGGCTATGTTTCTGTGTGGTCCGTGCCGAAGGCTTATAAGAGAAGAGAATTCAGCGTCGTAAATTCAGTCGTAAGCTAGAGGAGCGAATTGAAATCAGGAGTACAGAAGAGTGCAGCAGATCGGTCCATGAAGACTTTGCGTATGAATTAGAAGACTCTATGTGTGCGGCAGTACAGTGATATTTGGAGTGTGTGATTCAGTGAGACTGTTATAGTTTCTGCGTTGAGATCCGTTGCCAGGAGACGA